GCGGGCCGCGGGGCCGGGGAGGCCACGGGAGCGCCCGCGGGGCCGGGGACGCGGGGCGGAGCGCGGCCGCGGCCGAGGCGGGAACCCGCGGACCCGGAGCGTGCGGCGCAGGAGAGTTCGCGGGCCGCGGCGGCGGGCGGCGGGCGGGTGCCGAGGGGCGGGCCGGCAGGTGAGGTCGCGGCGGCCCGGGCGCCCGCAGCGGAGCGGCCGCCGCCTTCCAAAGTTGCCGCGACTGCTAAGATGTCACCGGTGAGTGTTGGTGGGACAGGGAGATGGAGACGTCCCGAGGAAAGCACGGCGGGGCCGGCCATCCTGTCCCCAGGGGAGGGCCCCGGCTGTGACAGTAGGGCTGGGGGCCTTCTGAGGAGGCCACCGAGCCTCCAGGAGGAGGCCCTAACCCCCCCCCCCCCCCCCCGGAGCCTGGGCTTGGGGAGCTAGGGAAGAACGGTGTAAGGGGCCGAGCCCAGGGCAGCCCCGGGGCCAGGAAGTTACCAGACCCGCGGGCAGGGGACCCGGGGACCCGGGGACCAGAGCCTCAGCGGAGTCTCCAGGGTGAGCCAGCAGCGACGCCAGTCACCTGGGTTAGGGGGACCCAGGTGCTTCCCTGGGAAAAGGAATGAGGGGCTTAGAAGCCACATTTTGGTCAGTGTTACGTGATGAAGTGTTTGTTAGCATTTGATTTATTAAGGAATTAGATGTTTGTTTGTTGCACCAGGAATTGAACGCAGGGGTACTCAACTACTGAGTCACATCCCCAGCCCTTTTTTATTTTTTATTTTAAGACACGGTCTCAGTAAGTTGCTGAGGGCCTCAATAAGTTGCTGAGGCTGGCTTTGAACTTTAGATCCTCCTGCCTCAGCCTCCTGAGCTGGGATTTACAGGCACCCACCACCATGCCAGGCTAAATGTTTGTTCTTGAGGCAGAGATTTGGGTTCTTGTGCACTGAGCACAAAGTGATAAATCAGAATTAGCAGACAGAAACTATAAGTTGTGAAATAGTTGAAAGGTGGAAGGAGGGGACAAAAGAATGTTAGATAGTAAGACTTAGTGTGTTTAGAACCTGTGATTGTGGAGACAGTGCAACATGATTGTTTGATTCCCAGTGACTGGGAAGTTTAGCAAGGAAGAAATATTTGTGTATATAAACGTAATGCTCCTAAATAAAAATTTTAAGACAGTCCTCTTTATTTACTGCTGAAAAAGACCCAGACTATTAGAGGGGTAAATAAAAGGAGCTGTTAGTTAACTGGTGGTTCCATTAATTGTTTGATGGTTGGATAAGAAGAGAAAACCTAAAGTTTTAGAAAAGTTCAGAGAGTGGGGTGTGTGTGTGACATTTGGTAGTTTTATGATCTAGAGATTTGGTATTGAACCATTAGCATGTTCTTTTGTAATAACTGTACTGAATTTACGGTAATAATAGGATAGACAGACATGGAGGTCATTGGCTAAAAGATGAAATTACAGTTTTCATGTAGTTCTCTTTTTATAAGGCAAGTAGTACATAACTGGCCCTTGTACAAACCATTCTTGGATGTTTAGATGACTAGCAAGAAGCAAAAAGTACTTGTATACATTGAAATTTATTGTATGAGATGTTTCCCCCTTAGCCTTCAGAAGTGTCTGCTCTTGTAAATCAAAAGAAAATACTCTGGGTTTGTGGGAGAAAAAAGAGAGATTTCACAAGCGTGTAATCAACTAAATATTTGATCCTGGTGACTTGGATCAGTGGTTAAAGCTCTCCAATTGCCTTATGGTGACTTTTAACAAATCTCCTGTTATTCTCCCATCTATGAAGTGGTAATGCTACCTGCTCTAACCACACATAACTGCATTTCAGCCTATCAAGTTAATGCTTATCTGCAAAGTACTTTGAACACCTCTGAGAATGAGGTTATGTAGTCTTAACTTTTTCTCACCTCTACAAAATTACCATCTCACTAGCACACTAAATTCAGCTGTTGTAACAATTATAGCAACAAGCTTATCAAGCTGTCTTGTTCTGTTTGAGTTTTGGTTTTATATTAATTTTGAAAGGTACTACCTCTGTCCATTTAGTGGCAAGATAGGAATACTGATGAAAATTGCAGAAATGTAAGCAAAGGTCACCAAGAGAGAATGGAAAGATAGATGCTGTGAGTACTCACCTAGGCTTTGCTAACTCTGTGTACATGTAGCCTTGAATTTGTTTCTCTGCTTCCTGGCAGTTTAGTTTTCTCCAGCTATGAAATAGTGTGGTGGAATGACTTAGCTTCTGTCCGCCTCGGGGAATATGATGTTGAGTCTGTAGAAACTTTATTTGCTTTAGATTGGGGGTTCTTAACTGTTATATTCCATGTACCCCTTTAGCAATTTAACAAAGGGCCCCTTCTGAAAATATTTTTTAAATGCACAAAATAAAATGCATAGAATTGCTTATGAAATGTAAACAGTTATCAAAATGTTAATTGTGGCATAGTGATGTATGTTCTTCTTTATAACACACTGAATAATAAAATGTAGCCTCAGGTTTAATTATACTATAATTTTGAAGTAGGAATGACTGTACTAAGTTATGTTAGGGTATCTACAACACCTATAATGTTGACATGAAAATGTCTTGAGGTTATTTTGGTAACAGTCACAGGATTGCTAATACTTTTATGAATTATTATAACTATAACCACAGTTGAAATTTTTCCCAAAAAGTCCATAGACACACCTCCTCCCTGAAGTCTCTCCACAGAAGCCTTGGGAGTCAGTGATTCCCAGGTTGGGGAATGCCTGCTGCAGACCAGTGGATTTTGTTTTTTTCCTAGACAAAGCAATTTGGGGAAGTTAAATTATCATTTCTTATGGACACCTGCCTTTTAGGCTTTGTAATATCTTTCAGTATCTCTACCACTTGAAAAACAGGGACATATGAAATAAAAGTCCATTTTACAACCTATGGTGGCTATTCTTGACTGTGGAAAAAGTTAAAAACAATAATTCATATGAAATTTTTGTGTCTGGTGGATTTTGCTCTATAAGCTCTCAGTTACCTGTTAATCATAACTGTTCCTCAGCCTGGGCTAGATTTGGGCTGCAGGGTATGTATCTCCAACTTGTATTTTGAGTTCTAGTGGGTTTTGCCTTCCTTTCCCATTTTTGACCAGGGTGCTTTTTAATTGCCTTTTCCAGATATTGCTTTGACCACAGAAAATTGTGGAATGGGTGGTTTTCTTTGGAATCAGTATGAACTTGGGTATAAACTTTAACTTTCATCTTGTCCTTGTAGGACTGAATGTGGGACTAGCTAGTGTCCTTCCACTTTCATTTAAAAATTTCCTTCTGTTTGGGTGGCAGAGATCATTCTCAGAAAGCTCTTGTGTCCTGATGTAGAAGAAGAGAGCAAATTGGACACCTTGAAAGGTAAAGAACTTGGTAATAAGCCCATAACTTCTGGGATTCTGTCTGCATTTTGGGGGGTTTTTGTTTTTGTATCCATAGGGTTGCTTCTAAGCTAAATTGTATTGGTTCATTATTCTAGCAGTTCCTAAGGTAAAAGTCATCAAACAAATGCAAGTCAAAACTACAAATGCAGTTACCTTATACTTTTCTGTGAGCAGGGACTGAGTGTAAGTCACTTCAGAAGACTGAGGAGTAAGACAGGTGGTAGGGTGTTGAACAGGCATTTACCCTGTCACCTTTGGTTTCTAGAAACGCAAGGTGAAGGTGGCAGTGCTCAATCCCATTATGATGCATGCCTCAACCCGCTTTTATTGAGTTTCTCCTGGGTGTCAGGTGCTGAGGTGATGAAAGACATGGTCCTCAGGGAGTCCCCTGTCTATATATAACAGTGCCACAGTTTTATAGGTGTTATAGTAGTGTTAATACAATGCTGTGTGGCCATAGAGGACATAAGGGGGATAGTTGGCAATCTAGGAGAATTTCACAGAGAAGGGAAATTTATTCTGAAATACTACTTTGGGTAGCCATTATTCTAAATGATTCAAATCAAGTAGTTGAAATTCATTTTTAAGTGCTTGAATGTTGTTGAGATTCTTCAGTTTAATATGAATTTTTCTTTCTTTGAAAGTTTGCTAGTTATTGAAGGTCAGTAGATACATTTTACCTCATAAGAACTAAAACATACATTGATATTTTATGTGGGCCAAGGTCTATACATACCCTATGTAGAGTTTACTTTCCTCCGCAGTCTTCCTGCTGGTGGGGAAAGATTGGTTTTTCCTATTGTGTACTTTTGCTGAGAAGAAGCCTTTTATTAGTTGGCATGCCACAAGTTAAGAATGAGCTCGGAATGGAATCCTGAGGCCTTTTAGTTCCACATTCTAAGTTTGATACTCTGCCTTTTATGGAGTAGTGGTCATAGCATAGAAATGAAATTTGTTAAACATGACATAGTTCTAATAAACTTAGAATAGGAAAGTAGGAAAGCATCATTGTCAGAGCTGAAATTGGAATTTTAGAGGTGATTCTGAGCTTGGTCAAATTTATTTGTGAATTTACCTAAAACTTTACATCAACCCTATAGAGTCTCCTTTTAAAAATTCTGAATAATTTGGCCGTAAGACAGTCTGGAACTGTTCTTCCTTGCAATTTCAGAACTGTAAGTTTTGGGCAAAGGCGGGGGCCCAGTGTCATAACTCTAGTATATGAGGACTAATATTGAAAATAGTTGTACTTGACCAGTATTTGTTCTGGCTTAATGTTAAGCATTTTGCACATAGTAGGGGTTGAATAAAAGGAGATCACATGGCCAGGTTGCTCAGCCCTAAGTTCCTTCCAAAGTATATGAAAATACATTTTCTTGCTGGATGCTTGCCCTGTAGAGATACAGTTGAGAGGAGGGAGTAACCATGAATGGTCTTCACTTTGTCAGTTCAAAAGCCCATCTGAATTTTGTCTTTTCACCTTTACAGTCAGTGCTCAGTTCTCTACACTCATAAGAAATGGGCAAAAGCAAAAGTACCCCGACCAAATGCCCAGAAACTTCAAAAGTAGAAAAATAGATTTTGATTTCACCCAGTATTTCTCTAGTGTCTGAAAGTAAAATATGCAGTTGGGAAGGAGGAAAAGCCACAGGGTCTTGAATTATCTACAGATTGTATATCTACCCTTTAATAATTGGGAGTAGGTTCTGTTTACATGGAGATGACAATTTTCTTGTCAACTAATATTTTAGAATAAGTGGGAACCCTGTTTTTCTCTTAAGGTATTTAGTGACAAATTGATGTGGTTCATTTTTTAAAAATTTATTTAGGAATTTTTTCCTACTATTTACCGTCTTCCAGGTGAAATCACCTTTAAGAAAGGGGTTCCCGGACTCCCCACCTCCAGGATGAGCACTGCAGTGTCGTGACCCCGGGGGTTTCGGTGAGTACACTGGTGGAGACAGCACTGGGGTGCAGGCCTGGCTTTGAAAGGTGGTCTTGAGGAAGTTTGGGCTTTGCTTCACGGACCTTTTCCCCTCTATATCACCCAACTCCCCTCTTCACCTCCTGTCCCTTGGTAAGCACCATCCTACTATTTACTTCTTTGAGTTCAACTTTTTTCAGTTCTGTGTGTGAGATCATGCAATATTTGTCTTTCTGTGCTTGGCTTATTTCACTTAAAGTAATGTTCTCTAGTTTCATCTATGTTGTAAGTGACAGGATTTCAATCTTTTTTTAAGGTCAAATAATATTCCAGAGGGTGTGCATGAATGTAACGCACTTTCTTTAACTGTTCATCCGCTGACAGATACTTGAGTTGATTCCACATCGTGGCTATTGTAAATACTATAGTGAGGGTGAGAATGCAGTTATTTCTTCTCCATGTTGATATCATTTTCTTGGTGGATAAAAACCAGTATTTTTCATGGCATTGTAGTAAGTTCTAGGAATACAGGGATGAACAAGTCGGTCTTCGTCCCCACCTTCATGGAGCTTCCGGTGTGCTGTTAGAGATGAATGTTACACAGATGATCACATAATTACACATGTAATTATAAACACGGAAAAATGCAGGATGCTGTGAGAAGAATGTAATGCAGAATCCCGCGTAGATTCCTGGTTTTAAGGAACCTTCCTTCTCTGAAGAAGAAACAAGCTGAGACTTCATTCTTTAAACAGAAATGTCCAAACTTGACGTGGGGGTTAGCAGACAAGTGTCAAGAATGACTCCCAAATTTCTGACATGAGCAACTGAGTGGATAAAGGAGACATTTATTAAAGTGTGGGAAACTGAAGGAAAGTCGTTTGGGAGGAAGACTACACAGAGATAGGAGCTCACGTTTGATCCTGTCGGGTTGGAACTGTCTGGGGAAGTGTGAAGTGCATGGGTGGGTGCAGTCCGCAGAGGGAGGCTGAGCCTCGTGGGGATCTGGGAGCTGTCGGCATGGAGAGAACTCCAGGATGAGCACAGCGGAGGGCCCAGAGTAGAGTCCTGAGGAGCTTGGGGCTTTGGAGCCTGATGGAGAAGAGGCCTCAAGGGAAGCAGGTATGGAATGACTGGAGCGCTAGGAGAAAACTAGGAAACATGGTGTTAGGGAGACCAAATGAGGTCAGTTTCAAGAAGGAAGGGATCCCCAGCAAAATCTAGATGAGCTGGGCATCATGGTGCAGGCCTGTAGTCCCATCACTCGGGAGGCTGAAGCAGGAGGATCACAAGTTCAAAGTCAGCCTCAGCAATTTAGTGAGGCCCCCTAAGCAACTTAGTGAGACCCTGTCTCAAAATAAATATCAAAAGGGTTGGAGATGTGGCTCAGTGGTTTAGTGTCCCTAGGTTCAATTCCTGGCACCCCCTGCTATCCCCCACAAAAAGACGAGAATTTTGCTCATTTGTTCTTACTATCAGAAGGCCTAGAGCTTGGGGTGATAAGAGAATAAGGAACTATATGTAGAAGTACTTTGAAAATAAAAGTGTTTTATGGTCACAGCATTATTACTAGAAAGAGTCTGTGCTACCAGCTCATCATAAATTCGTGGCAGATTAATAGAGATTTGATATTTGTAATATGTTTTGCATTTCTTTGGAAAGAGATTGCAACACAAATGCTGGGTGTTTCCATTCAGTGAGAAGCCAAGTAAGTCACAGAAGACCCAACTCTCTTAGTGTGTTGTGCTGAGTGTTATAGAAAAACCAAAGACCTTGAAACAGGGGGTTGTCTTCAGAGACACAGCCTTCACACAGGGGTAAAATATGCACACAGAGTGGTCAGTCGTGTGACACAGACGGGAGGGACCAGGAGCTATGGGCCCTGTACAGGGGTAACTGCTTTTCTTTCCTGAGGTAAAGGGTTTGGAATAGCCTTGTCCGTGCGGATGCATTTGCTGCTTCCTCCTTACCAGAGGTTGCTGATGTTTGATGGGAAGTTACAGAATGCTTTATGATTGTCTGTCAAATTGGACAAACACAATCCATTTTATGGTTTAAACTGGAAAAGCAAAAAGGCTGAAAGGTGATAGGGATAAAATACAACCTTAAATTAAAAACAAAATGTTTATAGAATTTTTTTCTCTTGAGGTCAGCCTAGAAACATTCCCTATGTTTTGTTCTAGTTCTTTTTCCTGCCTTCTCTATTTAAAAAGTGTGTATATTCACAACTTCCATGAATTCCTTCTGTATCCCAGGTAAAGTGGTTGGGACTATAAAAATTTCTAAATGACAAAATAGACACTTAACACTTGGCAATGATCATACTGCCAAAACCTAGAAAATAACTGACCCTCCCGGTATTAGTCCAGTTTTCAACTCTGGAAACACATGTAAGCTGCAACACCTGAGCTATTTGTGACACGTTTTGATTCTTCAGCTACTAATCCTGCACTTAATAATCTCCCCCTTCAGTCTTGTGTTCTGAAGTAAGATACCAGCAGCGGGAGGGGAGGGAAGGGAGGGACTGACTCAGGGTATACCTGGATTTTCCCTTAGCCAGTCTGGGCTTCCCTAAATAAAGGGCTTTCTCATTTATTCTCTAGCTAGGTTTGGGAATATTTACTTGACCTTTATGCTGCACATTAGCCTTGCAAATTGGCTCAAAAAATATATTAGCCTTCAAAGATGTTCTTTTACCTTCAGAATTATGGATCATTCCCTTGCTTACCGATGCCTAAAGTCCCTGTCATTAAGCAGTGAGAACACAAGACACACATTTGGCATAATTTAATAGAAAGATCATGGAAATCGGGAACAGAACTGATTGTATTTAGTATTGGCTCAATATTTGTTTTCAGAAGTACCTCCTTTCATGCCTCCTCGCCCTTGAGGCCCTAAGAAAATAAGCATAGATTCATTGGATTCGTGGTTTGAAATTGGGGTGGGTTTGTTACATTTTGGTGCCATTGTTTAGCCACCAGAGCTAAAATAGCAGAGTTACTGGATTGGATCTGCACTTCCCAGTGGTTTCAAAGCATTGTTTTAGAAGAAGAAAAGAATAAAATGTTTTTGAGGATTTTGTATTCAGAAGTAGAGAAATGTGAAGGAGACTAAATGGCTAAAGATTAAACTGCATTTCTCCTCTGCTTACAGATGCCTAGTTCTTGCTGCTTGGGTGGGAGGTTGTGTGCTGGGATAAGGTCTTAGTCACTCTTCAGCTACTTCAACACCAGAGCCTGTGGCCAGGATAGGAGTGTCGCCCTGTCCTTTAACTCTGCAGGAAGCTGAGGGATGATCTCGCTGGCTCTTTGTTGGCTGGTGCTTTCCTCTTGATCCTGTTGTGATGTGGTTTTATGTTTCTATGTTATGTTATGTTATATCTCACCATTTTGGGGTGTTCTTTTCTTGTAGAGTGCCCTGGAGATGCGAGATTTTCCTTTGGCAGCAGGAGGCACACACCCAGAGAATGCGGGAGCTGCAAGGAGAAAGGACCCACTTCCCCAGCAGAGAAAAACAAAGAGGAAAAAGGTGTACAGGTGGTCAGTGCTGAGGGACACGCCAAGCAAGCAGTGGGCCGCTGCTGCTGCTCCCAGCAGCTGCTTCTGCGATAGCCCGAGAGGAACTCGGTGAGCCCGTCCCTGTTTGTGACTGCAAGCTCAGGATTTCAATCAATGCATTCCAGTAACCCTAAAGTGAGGAACTCTCCATCAGGAAACGCACAGAGGTGAGGGCAAGGGCCACTCCCCACGGCCCCTTGGGGATTCCTGGCGCACCACAGACACTTACTGATGATACGGTGTGTTGGGTTAGAAGCAGATAGGAAAGGAAGGGAAATGGAATAGTAAATAGGAACAGAAGAGTCACCGGGCTAATGACAAAGCTTATGTAGTTGCCCTGTAGTGTTCTTTACTCATCCTTCTCGGACCTCTCCTCTTTACCACTGCACACCTTGCCAAAACTCGCATACAAAGACCAACAGGACAGTCTGCTAACCTTGGCAAGGTGAGGGCCTGAGGCTGCAGAAGTGAAACAGTCGCCCCAGTCCCATGCCGGCTTTCCCTCTGCTACCCAGAACTTGAGCTGTCATTTTGAAAGGAGCCTTTCCCTCCCCCACTGGGGCAGTGGTCAGTCTACCCTGTTTTGGTAAAATGCACCGTTGGGAGGGATTCGCGTCCTGGAGGGTCTCCCTAAGCTTCCAGGCACCGTGGGTTTCCCTCTTGCTCTCTGGGACTGTCCACATTTCCCAGCAGGGAAGCTGGCCTCTCCTCACAGCTGTCTGTCACCAGGCTGGGGGTGCATGTTTGTTGACTCTAAACTAGTCTCCGTGTGAGAGTCACTTCCCTGTGTACATAGAAACCGTTGTCCTTTATTGACAGAAGGCCTAGAGATGGGTCCCCATGTGACCAGGGTTCCTGAAACCTGGCAGTCCACTGTGTTCAATCCTCCTCTGTGGATGGCTTTGAAATGGGAACGAGCAAGTGGCTGAGGTGCAACATGGGGTGGTTATTTAGTCCTTAGGGTGTCCTGGACCCACTGAGGAAACTGCTGCTTCTGTGCCTGGTGTCTTATCTCCTTTTGTTATTTGTTTCTTCTAGTAGCCCTAAGTCAAAGCAGGAGGTGATGGTCCGTCCCCCTACAGT